ACATCTTTGCTGAAATAACTTATGAAGGCAGACTTGGGCTGAGGTGTCCAGGGACCAGATAATGTGACCCAGTCTGGTACAGCCATAGAAGTTTCTTTAAATATCGTGACAAAATCTGAGACATCGTTGGCCAGACCTGCAGTATGAACAAGTAGGAATGCAAGGTGTGATGCTGAAAGGCAAACTACTGGAAGAAATTCAAAACGGTAAAGCTCATTCGCAAATGAAGGAAGGAGCCCTTCCTAGAGCTCCACTCCAGCTGAGAGGAGCCGAGAGTGGCACAGCAGGGCCTGTCCTGGCTTTTGTTCTCTCTGTGTTCTGTTTCTGGATCACTATGGGCTCCCTTTCCAATAGAACAAGTTTAATTGCTTTCATAATTTTCAGCTTATTAGAACATTAGTAGTACGTGACTAGATTATATAATTAAGTAACAGATAAGCTCAAAAAATAGCTACTAAAAAGCAATTTTGGAAGATAGGCACGTAACACTGACTGTACAAAAATTGTGCAATTTCACATCAATGGAATTTCAGTTAAAAATACCAACGTGTGTATTTTTTTTCCCTCCCAGATAAACATTAGAAATGCTGAGAAAGTGAACACATTAAATAAAGCATTTGCTGAAATTCAGAAAGAAGTACAGCGGCTATCAAAAGGCACTGCAGCAGAACCTGAGAAGAGTCATCAGGTAATTTCTCTTTGTAAAAATCTGCGGAGGTAAATGAAAGGAGAATGCATGTTCAAAGCATTATATTCTGGCTGTGTGACTACAGGCAATTCATGCAGTTCTTTAAAGCTATAAACCCAGATTTATTAATTTCACTTGTGTAGTAATGCTGAAATCTGGTTAGCACATTCAAGTGGTATATAACTACTAAAGTCAGGAGAGAAGAGGGTAGGCAGCCAAGCAGAAGCATGCTTCCAAAACATTTTAAAACTATGTTCTAGTTGTTTTTTAATTTATTTTTTTAAAGTTAATTACAGCTCCAGCCCCTCGATTAGAGACTTATGCCTGAACATGAATAACTTAAGGATGAACCTTGCTGTTCTCAACCTGAAGCACCTGATAATGCTTTGAACCAAGCAGCTCTGCCTCCTTCTGTTCCTAGTCCCTAAGCCTTCATTTTCTCCCATCAGAAGTACCAATACCTAAACCAGCAGTTTCTGTACTAGAGCTTTTGCCAGTAGCATTTACGATTCAAGACAAGTGTTTCACTTGTCTTCTTTTGTCTACTCTGTTAAACAGGGCTACATGCAGTCTTGAGTCAGAAATAACTCACAGAATTTAATTGCAGAGAAGCTCCTCCATATAAACTCTTTATGCTGATGGTGATGTAGTGAGCGTAGTTTGTGGGGGAGAGAGCAAGCAGTGGGCTGGGACAAAGTACAGATGAATCCATCCTGGCTGCTGGGGAAAGTACAGGGAGTTGGGAGAAGTGGACATGAGCTGAGCGTTATTTCCTGTGCCTGGGGTGATCAAATTTCTGCATGGCTGGGAGTAACAAAATGACTGTCAAATACCTTAAGGAGAGGCCAAGGGAAAAATGAAATGTAGGTGAGAGTGCAGTGCTGTCAGGGGAAGCATTTCAAGGCAGTTGATGCCAGCAGCCCTGTCACTGCTAGTTTGCCATTGCACAGAGCCAGGAATTCAGACTCCACCACTGCTTCTGTGCTAGCAAGGCTGTACATGACAATGTTGAATTTGATCACTTGGGCTGTAATGGTATTGTCTCCAAAGCTGCTAAAATGTTGTCGAGACTACTTCTGAACTAAAAGCTGAGCCTCTTTCTGTTTGGCCATGTATATTACATTACTGGCATGATGCTTTGTCTTTCTCCTACAGCATAAAATATTGGCTACTTATTTGTCAGGTTCAGTGAATCCTGTAATCCCCAAAAATATTGAATTGTGACTGCAAAATTAGCCTAGGTTAAATATATAAAGACAAACTAATCTTCTAGACAATGGGTATTTATTAGTGGTTTTTTTTTCTTCCCCAAGCTGAGTAAAAAGAAGTTGCTTTCTATTTTAAAATGAAACTTTTTTTTCAGGTTTCCACAAATCTGGAAGAGGAACCAGCAAATGTGGATGCTGCCACAAGCCTATTATCTCAGCTGTAATGCATAATGGACAATGGAGGGATTGCAAATAATGAATATCACAAACACTGATGGCTTTGTTTGTACAATTTTATTAAAAAAATCTTGTTAATATACAAGTATTGGCACACTTTAATACAAACTACAAACAGACCTTTCCTATCATCTAGGAAAGTGGAATGTCAGAAGTCAGTGTGAGAAACTTAAAGTGCTAAAACAGAAGGCACTTCACAAAATTGGTTCACTGAAACAGTTTAGCATAACTCAAGTTGATATCCTTCACTTTTCAGCTTGGCAGTAAAAGCTTCAAAATTGATTGAAAGGTTAAAAAAAAAATAGACAGCTTCTTGGCAGTAAAATTTCAAAGAATATGCTGTCAATTATGAGCAAGAAGCTTAGACATTTTTAAAAAATGATCAAAAGGCTATAAAGCATTTTCACTTTTCTTTAGTAAGAAAACTTCAAACAGTTTGATTACACAGAGGACACACAGGTGAAAAAACGTGCCAGAATTTTTCATAGAAGCCCTTTTTTCTGGTTGTTGAATTTTTGTGAAGTAGTTAAAGGAAGCAAAAGGAAATATACTCCCAGAGTCAGTGAACTAAGAAGTTATACATTCATTATTCAAATACTTAGGTTATGAAGAAGTCTAGAATGTTATAGTTAGAGGTAGATAAGTAGTCTGGTTGACACAATATCTAATAATTTAGTATCTGCACATCAAAGAGATCACAGACTCCTTCATTATCATCCAGGTTAAAGTTGTAGTCATCTCCAGGAGTAGGAGAGAGTCGTAAGAGAGGAAAAACTGTAAAGCAGGAATAGTTTAGTTTAAATTAAAACACTTGGAACAACAGCCGTATCTCATAATTCAGTATGTTTGTCATCACTAGTACCAAGGTTAGTCTTAATTATTAAAACAGTTTTGATAATCTGATGAGCATGCTAGGATACATACTGTGAATACCTCTATTGCATTCAAACTAAGTCAGTAAGTGATGTCTCTACATTTTTGGCTTAGTATTTTAAGTGAATTTGCTGTAATGGAGTGATAGCTGTGGAATAGGGACTAAATTTCTCCTGCAGCAAAGGAGCTCCTTGGCAGCTTTTGCAACTTTCATCAGAAAGCCATCATTTGTATTTACATTTCTTCATGTTGTTACAGTATTGCATATATCAGCCTTCAAGTATTTATCATTGTAAGTAAGAAAGCTACCATTATCCCTGTTTTAGAGATGAAAAAGGGAGGCTAGCAGTTTCTCTGTGCACTGCATTTCAAGCATGGACTTGAAGCTGTTTTTGGGGACGAAATGCAAGAAGAGAAGCCTTAAGCCCTCAAGCTGCACTTCCAGAACACTCACCTAGTGCAGGTGAGCTGGGCATGCTGCACCTACTCTGAAAGTGGAGACTGCTTCCATTTTAGCCACGTATTAACACATTCACATAATCCCATTTCACCCCTCGGATCTTATAATTACATGGTTCTTTCTAGATAAGCCTTGAGGTTGTCTGCCTGAAGGGCAGATACTGGCACAGGCTGCTTACAGGGACAGAGGAACAATTG